CGCAAATGTCAAATTGCGTGTAGATAATAAACATACATGCGACTATCGAGTGGATGCATCAATAAGTACCATAAAATATCGAAATGGTTTGCATGGTGGATCTACAGGCCCATATATATCAATCTGAATTCGTTCTAAAAATATAGGGGATTCAGTTCCCACTTTTGCTGGTGATGGTCTAGTTATTAGCTTTCCTTTTGAGCAATCAACACATTTAAGCTTATTTATTTTAAATACCCTTTGATTTCTCAAATTATGGCCATGAGTATTTTCAATAATTCATCTTATCATAGTATACCGAGATGCCAAACTGGTCATGTCAAATCATAAAATCTGTAGATTTCTGTCTATCATATATGTTTCATCTACATTAATCTTTGTGTAATATAATTCAGAAGACAATGAAGACAATTTTTTTAATATATATTTATGCCCATCAATGAATTTTGTACTCCTTCCGTCCCATATATTTTGGGTGTGTTACTGTAGATACGAAAATTTAGGTAAAGTATAATTAGTAGGTAATTAAAAAGTGTATTAGTATAAATAATTATTATTTAGTAAAAATAATTATAGATTAAGATTAAGATAAGTAAATAGTTTAATTAAAATTAAAAAAATTTAAAATTTAAAACTTAAAAATGTGATTAAAGTGGATAATCATATTTCCAAAAAAAGAAAGGACAAATTATGTGGGACGGACGAAAATAAAAAATATGGACAAATTATATGGGACGGAGGGAGTAATTAACAAAAATTCATTATATGTCTTACTTGATGTCTCAATATGATATCCATTTATGCGAATATCATTAAAACTCAACAATTTTCTTTGGAATTTGCTAGAATATAGTGCATTTTGGATATCAAATTTTACTCATTTGGGGAGAAATATTATTGCTCTTCTAGAGCCCTCAATTAATTTTGCACAACCACTTATAATATTTAACTCAATTTTTTCCAACTTCATGTTAGTGAAATATTTCTTATATTTTAAAATAGTGTGCGTTGATGCACTATCAATCAGACATGAATTGTCTTCCATATTATTCACCATAGCGCGTTCAAAAATCATATTTTTTCTTCTTCAGGGTGTTCACAATATAAATCATTGGGAATTTCAGATACATATATTATCACATTGCACATTCAGGGTGTCCAAATATAAATCATTGAAAATTTCAAAAATGTACCTTCAGGATACGTAAATATACTATTGAGAGCTTTCACAATATGCACATTTAGGATGTTTAATATACATCTCAATATACACTATTAGGGGTTTTAAAATACAAACCTTCAGGAGTTTCAATATACACATTCAGGGTACTCAATGTACATCATCAAAGATTTTCAAAATATGAATCTTCAGGATTATCAAAGTATGTACGTTCTGGGTACATAATAAAAAATCACACATATCATTGTGTGCTAATAAAATTATCATCATCACTATTATTTTCAGATAAATTCATTTATTAAATATTGACATCTTCGGATGTCGTTTTTTATATAATAGCTAGTGTAAAAATTTTAAATTTATGTTAGTAATAATTGTATTGAAAAAGTTAATTGAATAAATACCTCAAAATTTTGGCAAGAGTTTCGGCAATACATATTTTCTTATTGTATCCGGGTAGAACTTCGGGATATAATTTTGTTTCTTCAAACAAATTTTGTAACATGTTTGAGTAATTTAAAAAATATATACATATAAAAAAATATGTTATCTTTATATTAGCATTTCCTCGACAGAGCCTCACACTAATAACGAATTATAAAATATATAACAAAATAAGATATAATATAAACATATGTATAAATATAAATAGAACGTGTATGTATTTTATAAATAAATATATACGTATATAGTTAAATACAAGTGTTATAATTAAATTTGATTTTAGAGAGAGAAAGTACAAGAGATAGAATAAAGAGTGAAACAGACAGAAATCCCACCAATTTTATTCCAATATTTAGGTCTATTTATAGACCAATTTACAAGGATTAGTCATCAAATTAGATAATTTGGCAAAATAAAGAAATAACACCTAATATATGTCAACAATGAGTCATAACATATTTTTATTTTTAGTTAGAATAATCATTTTTTTTAAAAAATTATTTATTTTAATTAAAAAAAATTTATAAAATAACTCCCAACTTCTATTTTTTAAAATTTAATTTTTTTTTAAAAAAAAACACTTAAAATTACTAGTATATTACATATTTACTTTAATACAATTATTTACTATTAAATCAATACATAAAACTATCAAATTCAAACCAAGTCTATAAACTTAAAAGGAACACAAAATTAATTCTAAAGTTATTTTAAAATTCAAATTCAATCTAAATTCAAACTCAATTACCCCTATACCGACAAAAAAGAACACAACTTTAATTTTAAGTTTTATTGTTGCCAAATTATAAAAGTGAAAATATCATTTCAACTTTACAATATCGTTCTTTTTAAACATAGATTGTTTCTTTATACACCAAACTTCATATTTCTACTAGTTAGATTTTGCGTTTTTCGAAAAAAAAATATACTCCCTCCGTCCCGGAACTAAGTATACATTTGTTTTTTGCACGTAGTTTTAGAAATATTAGTATTATATTAGGATATAGTAGGAATAAAGTAGAAATGACTAATGTGATATAAAGGTAATGACATTTGTGTAATATATTGTAAGTTGTAAGGGTATTTGTAATGTTAGGTATATAGTACAGTTACTAAAAAATGAAATAGATACTTTGTTATAGGACGGACTAAAATGAAAAAATAGATACTTTGTTATAGGACGGAGGGAGTATTTTTTTTCTTACAAAACATCCCATCATACATTATTTTAACATCAAATCCAAACTAAAATTTTTTCATACCCCATCAAAAGAAATATACCCTAATTTCATTCTATTTAGATATTTTAGTAGAATAAAAAATAATATTCTCTTCGTCTCACTTAAGCTGTGTCATATTTTTTATACACAAAGTTTTAGGTATTGTATAATTAGTAAGTAATTAAGAAATGTATTAATAAAAATAATTATGATTTAATAAAAAATATTTATAGATTAAGATTAAAATGACTAAATAGTTTAATTAAAATAAAAATATATATAAATTAGGAATTTTAAAAGGCGATCAAAGTGTATAATTATATTTTCAAAAAAGGAAAAAAAACAAATTATGTGGGATGGACAAAAATTAAAAGAGTGGATAAATTAAGTGAGACGGAGGAAATAATATTTTATTGGTTAATAGAAGTGTGTAAGAGATTCCGATACTTTTGTCATTTTAACTTTATGTACAAATTAGTTGTATGTGTAATGATATATTGTAATTTAGATAAAACTTTAGAGTATTTCGATTAGTACCACTACAAAAGAATAGTATATTTGTAACGGAATTCCGTCACTAAAGATCACATAGCTAACGTAATTCCATCATTAATTCCGTCTCTAATATCATTAGTAACGGAAAAAGTGAATTTAAAGACGAAAAAATCTTGTTACAAAAATGATATTTTCTTGTAGTGAGTGTATGATTACTCTTACTAAAATAAAAAATGAGATAGTTTTGAATGAGACGAACAAAAATGATAAAAAGAGTACTTTGAGTTAGAACATAATGAGAATATTTTTTTAGTTATATTTGTTATTATATTATCTTATATATAATTTTTTTTTTCTATAAAAATGATTTGTTCTTGATTTACTTTAATTTAATGTAATTTGAAAAGTAAATTATGTTGACATAAATATAAATATATATATATATATATATTGATGTGAAGAAAATATATTTACCATGTGAATGAAAGATAGTATGATATGGAAGTGCATAAAAATTTTTGGAGAGTTTTTTTCTTATTCTTTTATCTAGATGGTCTTATGAAAGTATTTTGGAGTTTTAAAATTTTTTTAAAACAATAATAAAAATTAATATATATTTTAATATATTTTAAAAGCATAGTATGAATAAAGTTCTTTGAGAAAATATATATATTTCTTTGAGAATTTTTATATATGACATGTTGTTTTAGGAGTTAGAGTTTTGAGTAGTAATATTTTGAATTGAAATAATTATTTAATACGATATTTTAAATATAAAATTAATTTTAATATAATAAAATAAAAATAATTACTTAATTAGTAGTATTTTTTATAATAGAAAAATTATAAATCATAATAATCTAGTACAGGATCACAAGCAAATATTGTCGTAAAGATAATTACAATATGTGGTAACACAGTGAGCTTTGTTTAGCCATAATTTGAAATTGATTTGAATATTAATCTGAGTGTTTATTAAATATTTTCGTTGTGATATTTTGTGATAGAAAAATATATTTTATCCATTCACTAATAAAGTATAAATATGTTGTTCAATTACAAAGTAATTATATTTGTTAAATAACTATAATTTTTTTTTTTTTTTTTACAACAAATATCACTACTTTACTCGTATCATTATTTTCACATCAAAAATTTATAAACAAAATTGTATTTACACTATTTTAACTATCAATTTCAATTAAAAAGCTATTATTTTTAAAATTTTGTGGTAAAAATAAATGTATATTACTATTTTTTATTTTTGTCTGTTCAAAAAAATATATATTATTTTCCAATTTAGTAACTTACTACTTGTCTAACATAATTAATATCCTTGCAATTTCTAATATATTGAGCATGTCATTATTTTTTTATCACACAATTTAATAAAAGCATTTTTGTATTTTCTACTATAAATCAATATAATACTAATATTAAAAATCTATGTGCAAAATCCAAATATTATTCTTTTTACGAGACGAAGGAAGTATATATTTTCAAATTTCACGGAGAATAAATTGTTATTGAAAATTCTACCTAATAATAATAATTTCAATTTAAAAAAAAAAAAAAAAAAAAAAAAAGAAACGTCTGTGTCTGTGTGAATTTATAATATATATATGGTATATCTACAGGAGGGGTAAATGAATCGAGGGCAATGCAGGGGAGAGGTCAACAAATTAAAGTGCACAGTAGAATTCATTGCTACCACGTTTCTTCACATCCTTAGTTGAAATTCCTTCTCCCTCCCTCCCTCATTATATATGTATCTATGTATGTATATACAATCACTTATAGCTTCTTATAATATCTATAATAATCACAGTCAGAGGCAAAAGCACAGGCAGCCATGGAAGGCGATCACAGCATTTACCGAGAATGCCTGAGGAACCACGCCGCCAGCCTCGGCAGCTACGCCACCGACGGCTGCGGCGAGTTCACCCTCGACGACACTATCCCCAACCTCAACCTCAACTGCGCAGCTTGCGGATGCCATCGCAACTTCCACCGCAAGGTCGTCACCCACCACATCTACCCGCAGCTGCACCACGATTTCACTGCCACTGCCACTCCGCCGGCTGCCGAGACGACGACGACGACGATGATGATGGACTACAGAGAGTCGTCGAGATCGAGGTCGTCGAAGAGGTTCCGGAGCAAGTTCACAGAGGAGCAGAAGGAACAAATGCTAGGGTTTGCTGAGAAGCTGGGGTGGAGGCTGCAGCGGAAAGACCCAGCGGCAGATGGAGACGACGACGAGATCGAGAGATTTTGCCGCGGAATCGGAATCAGCCGGAAAGTGTTCAAAGTGTGGATGCACAATCACAAAAACTCGTCGTCGCCATCTCCATCGCCATCGCATTCGGCTGCTGCTTCCACTGGGAATAATGCTTCTTCTCTTACGGATCATCGTTAGCTACACTGCACAACAATATTAATCAATCCCTGCTGGCCGGGAGGGGATCACCAGCCCCCTCCACCCTCAGCCCCACCCACCCCCCTCTCACATTAATAGATATATATACATACACATACAATGTGTATATACATATATATGTATATATGGGTGGGGCTGGGAGGGAGGGGGCTGGTGATCCCCTCCCTGCTGGCCTTGTCTTGTATTTTGATTCTCTTGGTTTTCTGGTAATGATAATTGCTAAGAAGAGATCCGGAGTTTAATTTCAAAATCAACCGGTGATAAAGAGGAATTGTCGAAACATCTTATAAACATATTAAGTTTTCAATATGGCTTATGAGATTCCATCTCAAAACCTTGAAACCAAGACCAATATCCTACTTAATACGGGCATACGGACACCAATGGCTCTAATGTCATATTAAAAAGAATACGAGACTCCATTCCAAAATTAATTGGCAAGTAGAGAAAGTTGCCCTACACCCTTATAAAAAAAAAAAAAAAAAAATTTAAAATATGGGACACTCAACAATTATGACATCCATAACATAATGTCGTTGAAGCAAAAATTCACCTTCGGACTATCTATGTGGAGTTGGGCCACCCGAAAGACTATAATAATGGATTTTCAGGTCTACTCAAGAAAGTTTTCACGTTCAATTTTGTAAGACAATTTAGGATAAATTGGTCTTTGCAATAAGTAAATATAAAGCTTGAGAAATAAAGTGAAAACTCGAAAAACTAAAGTGTATGAAAATTGATAAAATAATACGAAAATAGTTTATCCTATTCAACATTAATTCCTTTGTAACCACTTTCAAGATGATTCAACGTGGAAGAAGTTGATTTACTATCTACTCCTTTCAATTTCAAATGGTTTCTACTTTGATTTCAATTAGGATGCTTAAGTCCTTCAACTATTGACCACAATTTAAACCCATTAGGTAAAGTTCTTTCCCGTTTATCTTCTACTCAAAGCTCAATTATTTTTTACTTTTTTTTTTTTTTTTTTTTTTTTTTTTCATGTTGGGCCGGGTCCAACGGTTCCCCCATCCCCTCTTTAAATATCATATGATAAAGTATACCATGCCCATATTTTTACTTCTGTTCACTGTATAGGTATATTTTCGAATCGTGTTCATATAAGATTAAGTTGTGTTGGATAATTGGTTATTTTGTAATTGATTAATTTTTGAGTAAAAATGTGACGGGCCGGTGTACCAAATTATAATTTATGAGGTTTGGTTAATATTTTGGCTATTTTGCCTGTCTCGAGACAAACGAAATTATGCAACCCAAAATTAAACCTGGGTGTATGGCCTAAGTTGCAGTATTATTTGGATAAAATATTATCCGTTGAATAGATTTATTATAATCTCAAACGAAAGGTTTGAAATTAGAATAAATTACAATTGTTTCAAATGGAAGGTATGAAATTAGAATAAATTACGATCGTCACAAACAGAAAGTTTGTAACTAAAATCAATTACGACTGTTTCAAATGCAATATTTGAATTTAGAATAAATTACATCGATAATTAAGGTCGTAATTATGATCATAATTGGTCAGTGGCTGAACCGTAAGTTTCAACACGGCTGTGTTCTACGTAATACGACCATGTTCAATCCAATTCGACATCCAGATCGGTGTCCATAACAGCCACGTCAGCACAATCCGTTAAAATTTGAATGGTAGAACTAACAATTATGAATTTTGTTTTACTTGGGACTAGTTTTGATAAATATTTTTGCGTGAAACCAAAAGTTAAAAAAAAAAGGGAGTTTGAATGGAATTACAAATATTTTTTAATAAATAATTATACTTTTACTCATCACATCATTAAAATAAAAATAAAATAAATAAATAAACATTAATATCTAATCATATGACTTAATTTCCTATTTATTCTACACAATATTATTCATTTAAATTCTCATACCAAAAATCAAATGTTGAATCATATGTCATAGGATGAAGTATTAGATAATATTATTTAAGAAAAAAAAAACTTATACAAATACATTTTATAAATATAAATAATATAGAACAAATACAATTTTTACAAAATAACAAAATAAATAAAAATAATGTATTACAAGAATAATACTCCCTCCGTTCCACTTATCATGTCACGTTTTCTATTTTCATCCGTTACATATTATGTCACTTTTTTTAGAAAAGTATTTTACATTTTAATAACATTTTAAATTTTATAATTTATAATTTATTTTAATTTTTATTAGACTAATTAGTTATTTTAATCTTAATTTATAATTATTTGTATTATATTATAATTAATTTTACTAATATATCATTAATTATTTACTAATCATACATCTCCTAAATTCTTACATGTACGGTAAATGTATCATCATATTAGAGATAGTAAATAAACAACACATAAAACTCTTGAAATAGTAAATATGTGCGTTATATTAATGGACATTCGCTTGCTTCTGGAGGAACGACTAATAATTTGGAAGAGAAAAAAATCGAAACATTCTTTTTTTTTTTTCTCTCTAATATTTTTTTTAAAAAAATTAATATATTATACATATTTATTAGTTTTATATTATTCACAAAAAAATTTATATTTTATATAAAAAAATATTTATTCAAATTATTTCACAAAACAAGCGTATCCTCAATATTTGGAGTGTATTTTTTTGAAGGTTTTGGAAAAAATGAGTTTGAGTTTGAATTAGATTTAAATTTGAAGACGGATTTGAATTTTTGTATCACTAGTATGTAAATTTGGTTTGGATTTTAGAATTTTGATATGTATTGATTTGACATGGAATAAATATAATGATATAAATAATTATTAAATTAAATTGTATGATTTGAGTATTAATTTATGTTCATTATAAAATTTTATCAAATCACATATATATATATATACTCCCTCCAGTCCATTTCAAATGGGACTTTTTGAGATTTTATAGTATATTAAAAAATAATAGTATTTTATTTATTAGTGGAAATGTGTAAAAGATTTGACATTTTTGCCCTTCGACTTTATGTATAAATTGTATTTGTAATAGTATGTTTATAATTTAAATAAAAATTAAACATATTTTAGTATTAGTTTATGATTACTTTTTTTTAAAATAAGAAATGAATACCGGATAAAAATGATAAAAATGATACTTTAAAATATGACGGAATGAATATATTTTATTAAACTATAGTTATTAAAATAACCAAAACCAAACAAATGTATAGATCAATACTACTTGTCCTTAATGGGATACGTTATATTTATGAATTGTCTGTTGCTTCTCCTATATATATATATATATATGTATACACTATGAATGAAATGAGAGAAGCATCCATTAATCCTCACACATTCCTCTCTCCTAATTCTCTCTCCCACTCTCTATACTTATTACTTTTGTAATATATAGATGGTGCATATATATATATATATATATTATCTATGCACTTGCATTTCTTACATATAAATGATAAATTTTGAAGGAACATCAAATGCACACTAAAATAATTGAGTGAGCAGCGGCTACACTCGATTCAAAGTATTTATTCAATATTACTTGGTGTACAAGAGAGACGAACTATAAGGAACTCGTCTGAGATCACAAATGATCTAAAATCAACTACAACACATTAATCAACCAAGAAAAGCACTGTATTCACAAAGGAACACTTATTAACCAATAACCGTCTCAAGCAAGTCATAGGCAGTAAGAAAAACAACAACAATACAACCATCTGTGGTGATTAGAGCAACAAACAACCACCATTTATGCTTTCCTTAATCTTGTACACCAAGAGTAGTGAATGAGCTATTAAACCTCATTATCAGTTGCAACAAACCTATGTAAGTGATGAAGAATGGAGAAAATAGAATAGAAAGAAATGGAAAAGATGACAGTAAATAAAACAGACAAAATATTGATTCGGAAATCGATTAAGGCATGAAGGAGACGTAATGGAATGTAGCGATTTAAGTAATTGCGAGAACCATTGTGAGAAGTGTGTGAATGGAAGTGTATGAGAGAGAGAGGCGAAGAGTGCACAATGCATGTGATTGGAAGTTTGTGGAAGATACGGTGATAATTCTCAATCTAGAACACCAAATTTATATATATATATATATATGTATATCTGTATGTATATATATATATATGGGTAAGACCCAAGAAAAATGAGTGGGCTTGAGCCCAAAAATCTGTTAGGCTTAAGTGAAATTGATATACACTTCTTAACAATAAACATCGTGCATATGCATTCTTATATACATAATAAAATCCAAACTCACTTATACACACGTTATTCATATATTTATATACTTATTAATATATCATTATATTATTATATAACAACAAATATATTTTATTAAGCTATAGTTAATTATTAAAATAATCAAACGATTGATTAATTGTAATTTTCCATAGCAGTAAAATAAAAATAAATAAATTTTCTATCTTTTCAAATAAATAAAGGCTGTCTTTAGCTGGTCTGAAATAGAACTGCATGGTATGTAAGCGGAGGGAGTTTGGCGTCCAAACTATGCACAGTAACCGTAAATAATTTTGATTTTGATTAAACCAGATCAAAAGAAACATTGTGTTTACTTGATTTTTTTTTTTTTTTTTTTTATCAAATACTGCTATTTATACAATTTTTTTAAAAGAAATATATATCAATTAAAATACTTATTTTTTTATATTATATTAAAAATTTATTTTAAATTAAATATATCATATCAAAATTTATTTATATTATATAATTATTTTAATTCAAATTTTTTACTTTAAATATCGTACAAAAAATCCAAACTCTCGACAAACACACCAAAAAAAATCTCATTTGAAGGCTTTAGTTTTTAAAACCTTCGTTTTTTTACTTGTTCATTTTTTTTAGAAAGTCCAAAAAATGCTGACGGACGGTTCAAACAAAACATGGTTAATCATTTAAGAACCGAAACGAACCGTGTCAAAATGGTTCGGTTCGTCGGTTTGAATACCGGCGAACCGACTGTTCGAAACTTACTGGTCTTGCTTTTGCCACAGCCATCGGTTTTTCATTAGCGTCGCAAGGAGATTGTTGAAGTTCTTGGCATCAGAGGAGAGGAACTATTCAGGTTATGAACTTATTGTATCTAGATGAATATGATTTCGTATTACTGGATTCATTTTAATGCTCTCCTTGATTTATCGTGACTTGTGTTTCTTTATGCCCGCTGCTCGATCTCGATCCCTTTGGGATTTTCATAAACCTTGTCTGAATCTTCTGTTTGTTCTTGATTTTGTGTACCAAACTAGTGGAGATTGATTTCTGGCAGGAAATCTTGATTGTTGAAGTTTTTGTTCGGTTGATTGGTAAATTTAGTTCGTGAGGATTTAGCGATATAGATTTTTTTGTTTGATTTTAAAAGAAAAAATAATTCCGAGGGCATTGATCGAGGTCTGGTTTCATATGCCTGAGATTGTTCCCGAAATTTTTGGCCGTTTGATAAATCTTATTGTAATCGAATATAAAGATTATAACTTTGTGTTGGCTTAGGTTTCTTTCCAATTCGATTTTGACAATTATGTCCTTAAGGAATTGTTGAAATAAATTTTGCTTGCAGAGAGGAGATCTTAATGCATGTCTTGGAAGTTGTTATAGCTGATGATGCCTGAAATTCAATGAATCTTATAGATATATGATTACATTCATGCATACAAGCACACAAACATACAATGCACATTTGAATTTCTTATTTGATTATTTCAATTATCAGCTACACAGCACATTATATTGTTTCCCATTCATTTGATTTCCTAAGTTACTGCAACTGATGCTTGGTTTCTTTTAGATCCTGCATTCTTGTTTATCGCTTGGATTTTTATTTTATGATCTATTATTGTGTTAAATGAATGCAAAAGAATTGTGCTCAAAATTGCCACAAAAAATTTTTGCTGCTTGTTTTTGTTTGTGTAGATTAATAACTTCAGATCTGAGATATTTAATTAGTACCATATGTATTTCTTAAGTTAGAAGTAGAAAATTTTCATTTGAGTTTAATTTTGAATTCTGCATCTGATATGATATGATGATAGCAGTTGGATAACTGCAATTGTTGGCAGCCAGCATTGTTGTGACTCGGAAATAACAGTCGCATTGAGTTGACATGGTAAGAATCCCTGTATTATTTTTCAGCTAGTGTATGCTTTTTCTTGGCTGCTGCTAATAATCGTCCTCAGTTTTTAGTTAGAAGAGGAGCCTTAATGTACATGGTGTTTTCACTTTTTAATGATAAGTACTTATTCTATAAAATATATCGTTTTGGGGGCTTTAAGTGGAGAGTTTTTAAGTTTATCACTATTCTTGTTTCACTAGTTTTGACTTAGTGCAACTTAACTTTCTATGGATTTTTTCTAGTGGATGTAGTTGCGGGTTTTCGTGTAGTGGTTTCTTTAATATTTGGCAATATCCTTTTGTAAGGTGTTCTTTTTTTCCCTAAAGATATTTGATAATTCACAGTTTGAATTTATGGTATGTATCTCCTAAGTAACCGGATTTGCTTTCAAGGAATACTCTCAAATTCATAGCTGTATAAAAGTACAGGTCTACCATTCCAGCTTTGCTGATGAAGAAATTGATAAAGCATGCGGTTGCCCTTTGCTTCCACTGAAAAGTCACATAAAAGGACCTGCGCCGAGTTCAGAACAAGGTTAAACAGGCTTACTTGTAATTGCCAAATTAGGAAAAACAAATTTAATATCAACAAAGTTGTGTGTTTTCTGCAGATCGCACGGATATAGTTGATGAAGCGATTACATTCTTCCGTGCTAATGTCTTTTTTAGAAACTTTGATATCCAGAGTTCTGCCGATAAGCTTCTTATCTATTTAACTTTTTATATAAATGTTGCCCTGAAGAGGCTAGAAGGCTGCAGAACTTTGGCAGAAGGAACCAAAGCAATTATTAATCTGGGTTTAGAAAAGGTTCCGGTGCCTGGAGAGCCTGGGTTCCAATTTCCCGGATTATTTACTGTTGCTCAATCTCAGAAAGAGGCAGGTAAAAACTCTCCCCACCATACACAGACAACAAATAATACTTGCTACATGATACCCTTCACTACATTTAAATGTGCGATTATGCGAAGTTGAATTTTAGTCTTAAATTCGTAAAGATTTGTTTTAAATTCTGAATGTAATTATTATATATAACATCTTGGTATAGTAGCAGTAATAAGTTGTGACAATTGCCATATCATACGTGAGTACTTGTATATAGTTAATGCTTGAGTTTGAAATAGAAATGGACGTAAACATCAAATGATGATCTGAATCAAGAAAATTTTTGTACATATGTAGATACGAAATAGGTCTGTTTGAAGAATTTTATATCGGGTGGGAAAAGAGTTACTGTCAAAGGTATTTTAAGCATTGTCATTACGTTTGTTTATAGAAGAGGTATTTTGGCTATTTATTTCTGTCCCGGGGTCTTATTAGTTTTTGCAGGCATTCGGGGTTTGTTTGTTTAGTGTTTAAATTTGAGGTCTTTTTTTAATGTGAAATATGAAAAATTGTGTTGATAATATAAAAATTGATATTTTTGTGTTGAATAGTTGATTTTTTTTGTAAGAAAATATAATACTACCTCCGTTCGGCTCTAAGGGTCCCATTTACTTTTGTCGTGTTGATCTTTTAATATTAATTATATGAAAACGTAGTGCAAATTAAGGAAAAGTGACAAAAATACTTCTATTAGTATCTTATAATACTATTATAATGACATATGTATAAAAAATTATACAAATATAAAAATATTTTTAATGTTAAGTACAATGACACAAAATGTAAATGAGATTTTTAGAGACGGATGGAGGGAGTATATATTATTTATATTATGTGGATGCGTGTATATATTATATTTTTTATTAATATTCATTGGAAACTATGTCGGCAAAAAAATATTTTGTGAACAAACCCTGTGTATTTACCAATGATGGGGTCCTCATGTTTTCGAGCGCAGAGCTCTTCCGTAATTATTTGAAGCAGATACGGGAAGAAACTAGCGGGAGATTACTGGGCGTGGCGTATAGATCCAATGGAACCCCAAACAAGTGGTGGCTGGCATTTGCGAAGAGGAAGTTCATGAACATCATCGCCCCTTAAAATTGACAGGCAAGTACACCAATTTAAGACCTTTTGTTTGCATAATTGGGGTCGTGTGTAGTCGACTGCTGCTTTAATTCATTTCTGACGATCGGTATGGTATAAATGTGCAAGGCTGCATAATGAATGAGGACAATCTCAGAATGTGTTATATGCCATTTTGATGTGTATCTTTTCGGCTTTAATAGGAAAATATATATATAGCAAGAGAGGCATCGTTGTAGTTCCAGCCGTCATTGTTCGCTGTTACTTTCATTTTATTGTTATTTTGCAGCTTTTTAGCCTTTTTGTGTTTCTTTGGAACTTATTTATGGCTTTTGTTGATTATAATTGAATAATCTATGTAGTTTTGAAGCCTTCTTTCAATTCATCATTCATTTTCTATTGTGTATGATGCTGAAATTAAAAATACTAGTTCTTCATCATTGATGTCTGAATATGGATCTTTATTTATGTAACAATTTAAGATTATTCATCTTCAACAATTTTGAGCATTTTCTTTTTCAAATTTGAGAATGCATTGTTGTAACAATTAGTTTATTGTCAATTGTTGGAAGATTCCAACAAAATGGTTTTTCAATGTTCTAATTATAGGATATCGAATATTTTGTTGTTAGCCATTCGAATAATTGTACTAGTTGGGTAAGGCCATCTCCAACTATATACTCTTTTTATATGCTGTTTTAATTCAAAAAATATTTGTTACAATATTTTCATTTCAATTCACAATTTTTTAATTCAAAAAGAATATTTTTTCCAAATATTTTAGTTTATAGATTATTTTAAACAATTTTTTATATTTATAATTCATATTCAGTTTTATAATTATTTACATAATTATTTATTACTATTTAATAATATGTTTATAATATAAATAAATGATTATTTATTATTTTAGAATTTGTTTTACAAGTTAAATAGAAAGGCAATATTATATTAAATACAAAAAATTATAAAATTCTAAATTAAAATAAATATTACATTAGATACAAAAATTATATGAATGCTAAATTAAAGTGATATGTGATATTCTCTGTCTAGAAGTTATTTATGCTAATCTTATATTTTTGCCAAAAACGATCAAGTCCAACAATAATTCTCTAATGCAATTATAGAACATCAAATGTACGTTCAACTTCTTTTATACACGACTCTCGCGTTTATGCGCAAAGTTTCTTCTTTGAACTTTGTGGATTATGAAAGTTTGCACCATGGTTGACTATTTCAAATAAATATCATCAGCTAAATCGCAACTAATATTATATTATTTTTCTTTGATAACATAGTTTACTCGAGGGGCAATTCCATATGTGAAATATGAATCGTGGCAGGTGGTTGCTATAGCTGTCGAAATGGGTAGAGCCCATCGGATTAGCCCATCCTGCCCTATTTTTAAAAATAGTTAAATTTTAATTTTGTAGGTCCATTAAAATGCAGACATAAACACGTTAACCTATGCGGATTGCGAATTGAAAGTGGGTTAGCCTGCAATGGGGCGAGCTAGCTCGTGAGCCAAATAAATATAATTATAAATATATTACTCCCCCCCGTGAGAAGACAATAGTCTTGTTTACTATTTTTGTCCGAATTTTTAAAAGTATTATATATTAAGTTAAATCAAATAATTAATATATTTAAAACTTTCATAATATGTTAAACTAATTAACCAATATATATTGTCTACGATGTTATTTTTTTTTTTAAAATATATTTTATATTTAAAATTTTCAAGACTCATTGCAGCAACCACCAATCATCTGTAGAGTTTTGGACAAGGTAGCCGAAACCTATAATGCACACAAGAAAGATGAATGAGTTGTAAATATTTTTCAATATGTACAAACTCATATGGATAAACTACAAAAAGAAAATCAGATTATTTTTTGATTATGTGAAGAAAGTCAAGAACTTGCATCGTAGTGGTGCATCAGAATTGATATAGTAAATATCTCTCTAATTTTTATTATTCTAAAACTTTCATACATTTATTACACTAACTGTATTTTTTTTTTCTTTTTTTTCAGTTGAGAGATGTCAAACAAATATTTGCTAAAAAAAAATAAGAGAGTTTTAAATGTGATCATATTTATGATCAATTGAAAGATTTTGAAAATTTTAAAGATCATAATGACCGTGTGTCTTGTAGAAAAATTCCATGAAAACATAGTGCAACATATGTATTATCGTCATCAGAGCATACAATTAGCGATTCTCCTGCAATGTCTTTATTTTCTATTTATTTAGATGATGAGGGTGATACTGAAGGATCCTCGTTCAATGTTACATATTATAATTTTAAAACTCTATGAGAGCATACATATCTACGGGAATAAAAATGACAAATGAAAAAAAAATGGTTGATGGAAACGTATATTCTGATGTTAAAACCATAATAAGCAACACTTCACAAGTTGTTGAAACTATGAAGAAATCGTATGAATAAATTAACACATATACTGAGATTAAAAAATAAAAATAAAAATATAAAATGCTTAAACGTGAGGTTAAAATATTGACAGATTTTAATGTTGTTTCAAACACAAATATTCGTATACTACTTCCGTCCCATAAGAAAAGTACCATGAGTTTTTTGCATTTAGATTTTTGAATATTAATTATTATATCAATACGTAGTCCAAATCAAAAGAAAATATAAAAAATATCTCTATTAGTCTCTTATAATGCAAAATACAATGACATTTGTGGAGTAAATTATACAAATATAAAGATATTTTCAACATTAAGTACAATGACGCAAGACAAATATATATATTTTTTTATGGGACGGATGTAGTATTATATTATAATCAACAAAAAAAAAATCATAAGAAAAAGAATAGAATTGTATCAACCGAATTCAACTGTTCCGTTCTCGCAATTCTTCAATGGCATTGGTGGAAGCAGTGGTGACTTAGGTCATTACTAAATATTGTGCTTTTTATTTTTAATGATTATGTAGATTAATATTTGTTTTTACTTGTGTTTGTAATATATTTTCTTCTATGTAATATATTGTTTTCAATTAAATCAAAGACGTTAAATTTTATATTTATATTGACATGTTAAATTTTATTTTAAATATTTATTTCATGTAATTAAATATTTATTTTTATGTATATTGCAAGATAAATTATACATTTTTTTATTCATTTGAAAATATTATTGTGCGACAAATAAGGAAAAAGAGTACATAAATTTATAGTATAAAAATTATTTCGAATTTATTATAAAAATTTTAATTACCTACTGTAAAATTTAGATTATAATAAATTTAAAAATTATAAATTTCTGTCATTAATAAATAACAAAAACTACAAATATACATAATTAAAATATCAAATTAAAGATTAGTCCCTACATAATTAAAATAAATATTCATATAAAAAAAAAAAAACTACCAGCAAAAAAAAAAATAACATTGCTACAATGGACACTAAAATCTCAAAGGCCAAATTAAAAGCTGGCTGGAGTTGTTAACTCCCCAACTCCAAATTAAAAGCTGTTTGGAGTGCTCTAATCTCTCTTTATAGAGACAATTTATAAAATTTTGCCACTACTCTATGGTAATTTTTTTTCAAATATTACATTTTTACTATTATTTTCAAAATTTCAAAACTTTTTATTTCAATAGTGATACACCTAGATTTTTATGTACTGATTTTTTTTTTAAAAAAAAAAAATTTGTAAATTAATATGTGGAATTAGATAATAATAAAAAAAATTGACTTTAATAATTTAAATGTAATTAACACAATAAAAAAGTTGTAATTATAAAAATTTTAAAATAAACAATATATCAAATTTTTTAAATTTGATTGTTTGTAGGAATTGTTCCTCATGACACATCAAAATTTATACTTCATATCGTATACAATATTAAAATTTAGGTTTAGTATCTTACTGTACTGATATCATATTAATAATTTGGTATGCCGAATTTGCCGATAAAAGATACCGAATTACCAAAATAGTGTGCTTACCGCATAAAAAAATATTAAAAATTTCAAACTTTTCGGTATGGTAACAACATACAATTTTTCATTTTTAGTATATAGAGAAAATATATATATTTTTCTGTATTTTGGTATATATAAAAATTTTTTACAATATCGATAAACAAATCAAAAAATTTGATATAGTATACAGTATTGTCCGATATTTTCGGTATATCATCTCGAACCGGCTTTAATCGAATTGGTTATACAATATAAAAGTATGACCGTTTACGCCAAAATATTGAAATAAAAAAATAATTTTATAATTTTGCGCAATAGATAACTTTGTATTTTAATTTTTTTAGCAAAGAAAAAATACATTGGAAATCAAATTTCACTATTAACTCATTTTCCAATTATATAATACCAAATCAAATGTTAAAGTTATATATATATATATATATATATATTATATTAAAACCTAGTTTAAGATTCTAAGCATTATATAAATATCTATTTGTACTCCCTCCGTTCCACTTACCGTGTCTACATTTTCATTTTCGTCCGTCCCACTTATTCTGTCATTTTTATTTTCTGGAAAAGAATTATACACATTAATCACATATTAATTTTTTAAATTTTAATTAGACTAACTGATTATCTTAATCTTAATCTAAAATTATTTTTATTATGCAAATAATTATTTTCACTAATATATTCTTAATTATTTACTAATTATACCACTTCTAAATTCTCGTGTCTACAGTAAACAAGACACGATAGCCGGGATGGAGGGAGTATTATATAAAATATTTATTTTAATTATTATTATTAAAATTTTAGTCCAACTTTCAAATTTATAACCAACCAACAATAAAATTAAAAATATTAATAATTTAATAAACTATAGTTAAATTTTTTATTTTACTTATTAATTTCTAATTATCATTATATTAAGAAAATAGATTAATTTAGTGGGAAGATTAATAAATAAAAAGTGAATCAATTTGATGGGACGGAGAAAACATATACTTATATTTGAATTATATATTTGTTATCCAAAATTATTACTCCCTCCGTTCCACCACAATTGACACTATTTTTATTTTTGTTTGTCTCGTAACAATTGACACATTTCTATATTTGGTAAAAATTATTAAATCTAAATATATTTAACAAATATAAATCAACTTAATTAACTACATAATATATATCATAAATGACGTAGGATCAAAATCTCTTTATTTCTATCTCTCTCCAAAAAAAAATAAATATTTTTTTCTATATTTAAAACTACACATCTTTTATAAAATTAATTTATGTTAATTATAAATAAACAAAAATATTATTTTATTTACTT